AGAGCTGACCTGAAAGAGCAGATGACCTGAGATGATGATGGTGTGATTATATTTTCCATAGGCCCTGGCTTTTACAAAAGTGCTCCAGTGTTGCTGAATGGCATTATGACTGAACTGTGTCCCCACCGCTCTAAAAATACAAATGTTGAAGCTTTGACCCCAAATGTGATGTTATTAGGAGATGGGGCCTTTGAAGGTGAATAGGTTGAGATGAATTCATGAAATTGGGGTCCTAAGACAGGATTAATACCCTTATAAGAAGAGGCACTAGAGCTTCCTCTGCCATGTGAAGACACAGGAAGAAGGTGACCATCTGGCAAGCCAGGAAGAGAAACCTCACCAGAAGTCAACCATGTTGGCACTTACAGACTTTTAGCCTTCAAAAATATAACAAATATATTTCTGTTGTTTAAGCTACTTAGCCTGTGGTATTTTGTTATGGTAGTCCAAGCAGACAAAGGCAAATGGACAAGTAAACTGCATGCAATTTGAATTGTTTATAAGATCCATTTGGCTAAAGAAGGAAATATTTTGTATAGGTAATTAATAAAAACCTGTTTATTCTCACTAATGTCCAGGCATCAGAAGAATAACAGCTGTTGGGACCAGCAGTTAGCGTAATGGCTATGTCGTTGAACTCTCATGTAGTGGACCGTGGTTTGAGTACCAGACCTGGTGGCTTAAACTCATGCTGGGCATGTGTGTCTGTGTGCCCAAGACCCCAAGAGGAGAATGGAGGAGAAGGGATTGTGGTGTGGTCATCCCCCCCGGGGGGTGATTTACTGCTTTCTGTCTCTCTTTCTCTGTCTTTCGTGTGAGCACGTGCGCCCTATAGCAAAAACCTCTCAAAAAAAAAAAATAACAGCTATTGGGATAAGAAGATGGCATAATGGTTATGTTGCTGGACTCCCACATTATGAACAACCGTTCAAGTCCTGGACTCAGCAGCTTAAAATTCTCACCAGGCAAGCACATGTGCGCGCGCGTGCTTGCGTGTGTGTGTGTGTGTGTGTGTGTGTGTGTGTGTTCCCAAGATCCCAAGAAGAGAATGGAGGAGAAGGGATTGTGGCATGACCATCCTCTGGGCAATGATTTCTCACTTTCTGTCTCTCCTATGAGTATATGTGCCTTATAGCAAAAAGCTCTCTCTTAAAAAAAAAAAAATTAACAGCTGTTTTAGAACTAGCCACAGCCTTATGAATACAGGCTACACATTTAAAAAATATTTTTCCCCCAAGGGCACCTACACTCACCAGAGACACAAATGGGGCAGTAGGGCACCTCCATGAAGCATAGTCACACCACAATCTTGTCTCCTCCATTTCTTCCTTCTTTGAGGATTTTGGGCATAAGCCGGCATGTTTTTCAAGCCACCAGATATGGGACTTGAACTGTGTGGTTGGCCATGTGGAATCCAGTGACCTTGACCACCAGGCCACAGATTATTAATTTTCTTTTGTTAAATAATTATTTATTTTATTTATCATTATTACTATTATTATTTTTAATTTGCTATAGGGCACACATTGGGGGAGGGGGGAGAGAAAGCAAGCTACCAGGTCCAGGACTCAAACCACAATCAGCCATGTGGGAGCTCAGTGCCTTAACCACCATGCCACCTGCTGGCTCCAGGGCTATTCATTTTTAATTGGTTTAATCACTGCAGATTAGGAAACAGATACTGCACAGTGTTAAAAACATGGATTATGGAATTGGATAGACTTGTTTACTTTCTTATTAGCTATGTGATCTTGAACAAGTGAGTTCATCTCACCAAGCCTCAGTTTCCCAATCTGTAAAATGAAAATAAGATTGCTTGGCAGGATTGTAAATGAAAATTCTGTGAGAATAATCATACAAAGCATTTAACACTGTCCTTGGAACATAAGATATGATCAAGAAATAAAAATAATATTGCTCAGGAGTCTTCATAGTTATTGTGGGCATTGTGGTGGCATTCTGGGCTAGGAAACCGATTTGCTTATGGCCAAGGTAAATACAGGAAACGAACTGTTCCGACAAGGCTGAGTCTTGGTCAATGGAAAGTACAGATGATATATTTCTGGGCACTGAATTATTGTGGATCAGTGACTTTCTTTGAGGCCCTTAGGTTCTTCACAATTTCTTCCCAGGCAGTTACTTGAAAGCAGTCAAAGTGACCATGTTAACAATTTGGTTCCCTCTGGAGTTTGGGGCATGAGAATTTATCTGGAAAATAGTTCTAGAACCTAAAAAATGCCTATAAACTGTTAGAGAGACTGATGTTTTATTACATTGAATTTAAGAGACCATGAAAAGGAATATTTTTTCTTGACATGAAATAGGCCAGAATATCAATATTGCATACCCAAATCTGAAACATTTAAAAATGGAGCTGTATTTCCGAATCTTGAGAAATATAGCTTTTTTAAAAAAATATTAATTGTACTGAGAAAGCAAGAAAGACAGACAAGACACGCACAGACACATACACATATAAACAGGGTCCCCCAACAGGGACTTGGCACACACCTAGTCTTCCATCCAACTAGGCTCATGGGCACACACTGGCAGGCCTGGTCTGTTCAGATCAACCCAGGATCCAAACACTGGGCCTTCCCAGTGTTGTACAGTGGTACCCTACTATCTGTACCACTGCAGCCAGTTGCAGTTTTCTTTTAAGTTAAAAGAGACTTGGAAAGTGCCACATAATCTCAAATGATCCTTTAGTCAAGACTTCAGGGAAGGTTTCACTTACAAGGATAAAATATCTACAACCAGAATGATAAATTATAGAAAATATAACCTGCATAAGCAGCTGTGATTTACATCTGTACCAATGTCTAGATATAAGAAACTAGTGAATTTTCTTACTTTTTAAGGCTTCTAGTAGTACTTCTAGGAAATTCATGAAGCAACTTCTTACGATACTCTATCAGCAATTCATGTAACCGATCTTCTTTTCTTTCACTTTCTTCAATGGTTTTTGTGGTCAGTTCCAAGAGCTCAGTATTGGTTTGGAAAAGGCGGCAAGCATAGCATGTAGATTTGGCTGTCTCCATCTTGTCCCCAGTAAGCACCCAGACTTTCAGGCCTGCTGCATGCAGCGCTTCAATGGTCTCTGCAGCTTGATCTTGCAGCCTGGAAATATAAAGGAAACCTTTTGATCCTCTAAAGTTCCTGACAGAGATTCTCCAAGAAGGCTTGTTGAAGGGAATATTTTTATAATTCACAGCAATCTTACAGTCCTGCCACCTTGCTACAGTTGGTTTTCTTATACATCCTCCACTATTGGTAACACTCTCTGGCACAGATTTCCTTATTTAAGTGAATTTAAAAGAATGAAGTTTGGAAAAGTTTGTAGTATCTTCAGAAAACTGATATGCAATGGCAGAACTGGTAATTGTCACGCTAAGCTAAAATGTTCAGAAACTCATCAAATATTTGTGTTCACTGTCACTTTAGCATATTTCATTATGTATCACACCACACAAATATTAACATGGTTTAAAACAGAAAAGGCCAAGCACATTTTAATCAGATGTTGAGAGAAGTTAATAATACCCATCCTTGAGGAGCTTTAAGAATAGGAAAGCTGGCCCAGTGGTGACGGTACACAGACAACACCAGTGCTTAGCAGGCTAGAGGCTGCAAGCAAGGCCTAGGTTCAGTTCAAGGGGCAGCCTGAACACACTGGCCACAGCTGTGAGTACCAATAATCCTAACTAATTGGGAGACTGAAGTAGGATCGCAGCATGGTGAAACTTGTCAAAAAATACCTACCTCAGTGTCTTCTCTCCCACCACCATCCATCCCTCTCAGAAGAACGAAAGGGAGAGGGAGAGAGAAAAGGGGGAAAAGAAAAAAGCCAACCATACTGAGTGAGAATTTAAGTATAATTTTGAAAGTCAATGATAGAAGAATGATACTTTCTTTGGGTTCCTTTTTGGCCACCAAGTAAGAATAAAATTAGACTCAGTCAATTCAATTAGAATTTCAATACTTTCCTGGGGCCGGCAGCTGACATGGTGGTTAAGGTGCTAGGCTCCCACATGGCTGACCACAGTTTGAGTCCTGGA